GGGGCCGGGGCCGGGCCAGGCCCCGCCGGGCCCAGCCCGGGCAGCCGCCGCCCCGCTGGGTGCCGCCCCGGCGCGCCCCGGGATCGTAGGGCACCGCCCGCCCCGCGTTTGCCGAAGCTCGTACCGGGCTTCAAGAGGCGTGCTTGGGCGTCGCTTTTCTTTTAAAAAAAAATACTTGGTTCGCTGTTCAATATTTACCAAATTTAGTCAAATGTTAGAGAGCGTCCCAACGAGGGACACGAGGGTGGTGGAGGATCTGAAGGGGAAGCCTTATGAAGAGCAGCTGAGGTCGCTGGTTTGTTCAGCCTGGAAAAGAAGACGCTGAGGAGAGACCGCATTGTGGTCTTCAACATCCTTGTGAGGGGAAGTAAAGGGGCAGGTGCCAATCCCATCACTCTCACAACCAGTGCCAGGATTTGAGGAAATAGCATGAAGCTGAGTCAGGGGAGGTTTAGGTTGGATATCAGAAAATTTTTCACCCTGAGGGTGGTGAGCACTGGAACAGGCTTGCCAGGGAAGTGTCACGGCACCAAGCCTGACTTGAGTTCAAGAAGCGTTTGGACAACACTCCCATTCATGTGGTGGGATTATTGGGGTGGTCTGCACAGGGCCAGGAGCAGATTCAGTGGTCCTGATAGGTTCCTTCCAACTCAGCGTATTCTATGATACTATGATTTTATTTCTGTCTGTAAAAAAACATTGTATTTTGGGGCTCTAATAAAAAGTTTGGTGTTTGTGATGCAGCAAGATTATATTTGTTTATATTACAAAATGTAGAAAAGATGAAACAATAATTGAGTAGAGAAACTCCTCTGCACCAGCAGCACAGTGCAGTTGCAGTTCACCAGGCTGATGCTCACAGTCCTCCAATGCAGAGGGCTGTGGGGCTGTGCCTGTTCTGTATCTGTAGCTCACTTCCCCGGGAGCTCTTGGGGACTGCACTGCCCCAGCACAAGCTATGGCCTGAGCCGGCTTCAGCTTCTGCTGCTCTTGCTCCTTTCTGTACCCAGGGAGCTGTGGCTGTTTAGCTTGCTTCTGGAATAATTGTATTTATTCAGGCTGCTGAATAAGAGCTTTTTTGTATTTCAGTAATGTTCTTGAATCCAAAGCAACATCAAACACATCACACAGAGTAACCTAGTCTTGCCAGGGAGCTTGAATATGCCATCAATGGCACGCTGGCAGCTTGAGGAACTCTTTTCAGGCTGTACTGAACATTACTGTTACACAGACAACCTAATATACACTTTAATCTGGATATAGCCTATGAATCTACTTTGAAACTCTTTTTAGACTTTTCCTTCTATTTTCACAAAAATGTAAGCTACTGGATATGTGGTTGTATGGACAGATTTGCAGCACTTAGTGCAAGTGCTGTCATCACCTTAGTTAAAGCTAAAATGACCTTGTAATTGTAACTTTACCTTTGTAAACATAATACTAGATTTTCAGCATTCCATGCAGAAAAACTTACAGTTTGCTAGTCCTATTTTAAGGACATCACTTTTTTTTTTTTCATAGTTAATTTAATTCTTTTATAGGAAGCAAATGCATGAGATTATGCTTTGTGCCAAGACATCCTACTGCTACAATCTAGAGAAAAGACATTTCCTAATGACAAGAAAAATAATTTTTTAAAAGCAAAGTAAAAAGCAAAATGAGCACATCCTCTCCTCACATCTATATAGCTAAGGGAAAATAAATTTGTAAAGGGAAATTAAATATAACACTATGCTATACCAGTGCTAGTGTTCTATTTGTTGCTTAAGGATCATTTTAGTCAATTGTTGTAGTCTTTTTTTCAGTCTATTTCTAGTCTTATTAAGAGCTACTGCAATAGCTGTAATGAAATAATGCTAATACTGAACCAAGCAACAATAACAATAAATCTATCAAAGAGTGCAGCATGTTTGCTTTCACGTTACCTGTCTTGGCTGAAGATCTGGTCCCTTGAAATCAGCACAAAAGTCCCACTGGCTTTTAAGAAAGATTATAATTTAGTTCCTGGTGATATATCTGCCTTGTATAAAGCTGAGTCACAGCTGAGTTTTGTCTGTCAGCCAGCATCTGGAACAGTTTTGAAGTTCTAGTGACTTATTCACTTCACATGGTGTATTCAATATGTCCACATTTGGAAGTGAATATGGTGATTCCTTCTGTAATTTGTAAGACTCCATATTTTCGTAATTTTCTGGCTGACTTCTGAAATCATGGAGTGTGGTGAATTTGATGGCACTTCATCAGCATAACCCAGGGTTATGTTGGATAAACCTGTGAGTGACAGGTGCCTGGAGTGACAGGTATCAACTCAGTCTGGGATGCATAAGAAACAGTGACTTTTGTAGGCATCCCAGGAATAGGGATGGGGGAAAGAGCTCCAGGCTAAGCCGCCAAAGGCTGTTGCAGGGTGGGCAGTGGAAGCAACAAGACTTGAAAACAACAAGGTTTGGAAAAAATATATCACCAGGAAACAAATGCTCTCTCTTGAAAGCAGATATATGTATGTTGAAAACTTTCTTGAAGAGAGAGGCATGGTTCTTTCTTGTCTGAACTAGTGTTTCTGTCAACTTTTCCTTAATCTAACTTCATCTCTTGATGTTTACTGGATTGCAGGAAGCAGTTGCTCCCTCCTGTGGCATCCTCTCAAGACCACAGGCAGGTGATGTTGAAGTAAGTTCAGAAGGTGCATGGCCTGCTGGCCTGCATGCCAGTCAAATTCTTTGCAGGACTATAACTCATAATGAACCAAAAGTGCTTATATAGGCTTTCCTCTGCCTAGTCTGTATGGTAATTCCAAAACAGCAACTGATTACTTTTTTTTTTTTTTTTTTTTTTTTTTTTTTTCTTTTTTTAAACTTGTGGTTTTCTCTTGGTTCCATTTTGTTGTAATCTTTGTCTGTCCATTTATTGCTCTGATTGTTGGCTTCTGATGATATTTCTCAAGGGTGTGTAAAATGTAATGGACTAGATAAGTTATGCAAAAGAGACTGATTTTCTGAGAAATGTGAGGAGATATCCTTGTAGGGGAAAAAAAAGGGAAAGAGATACTGAAGAAAAAAAAAGAAAGTATTTCTGCATGATCTTCATAAGACAGAAAAATAAACTGTAAGTTTTAAAGTTAAACTGAAAATGAAAACAAGAAAATATACACTTTTCTACATTTCTATGTCATTTATATTTTTAAAGAAGTTCTGTCTTTCTAAAGACAAATTTAAAGGCAGATTTAAGACAGTGCACAGATTTATACCCTGAAAGTGTGGGGTGAGATCAATGTCTGGAGATAAAGCACTTGATTTTTGCACCAGGCTTCCTATGGAGTAAAACTGTTTAACTATCACGTATAAAAATGTAATAATGCATTTGAAAATCACAACTTTAATGGCCGTTTCTTTTTTATAAATAATTTCATAAGACTGGAGACGGAGTTAGGGAAAGGAGTGCCACAAGACAGACTATTCCATACTTATTCCATAAAGTCTTTTATGTATCCAAAGTGTCAGTCTTTCTGACTTCAGAGGTCCTCCAGCAGAGAAAGCTCCCAGCACCCTTTCTCTTCAGCCTGTGCTCAGTAAAATGCTTACCAAGTCAAATTATTTTGTAGCAAAGATTACATACATTCGTGTATTTTCAGTATGTACCAGTTTAATAGCAAGATATAGAAAAATATAATATTCAGTTCCTTCAGAACTCAGTGTTTTTGACTGCAGGTGCATTTTGAATCTCAAAACAATTTATATAGATATCCTTCAAATCAAAGAAACATATTTGTGTTGATAAATGCACAGTCAGTCAACTCCACAAACACAGGCAGTCTATCAGTTAAACTTGTGAAGAAGACAGGAGCACTTTCCTAAGTTCTGTAGTCTCAGAAGTCTCAATAATTTATCTGTTCACTTGGGAAACTAATGTCCATGCAGTGTATTAGCAGCAGAGATGCTGAGGAAAAGGCTTA